TTCCCTCAGCCGGGGAAGCGCGCGGCCAAGATCAGAGGCTGAACTTTCCCAAAGCCCTGCTCCGCAGGGGCAGAGGGCGCGTGGCTGGCTTACCTCCGTATCTGCTTGAGGATGTAGTCCCTCGAGATGTATTTGATGTTTTCATCCACCACGGAGCGAACGCCTTCCTCTTCCGTCAGCTGCTTCTCCAGCCACTCCACCAGGTCCTTGTTGCTGTCCCACAAGTACGCCTGCCAACAGACCGCCCGCGTCAGCCGGGGTCCCAGCGCCGCCGGCACGCTCCCGCTCCCCACCCACCGCTCCCGAACTTGGAACTCCCAACGACGGGCAGCCAAGCCGCTCGGCTGGCAGCCCCCCGTGGCACCCCCAGCGCCTGTGGCTTTTGTAAACACACCTACGCGCCGGCAACAGTCGGAAGAGGAGGTATTTCTTTTGCCTCTCCTTCCTTAAACGTGACTGAAGGGGAGCCTCGAAGGCAGCAGTGCCACCACTGGCTGCCTCCGACCCAGTAGCTGTCCCAGCTGAAATCCCAGTTCCCTTCCGCGATCAGGTGCCCAACTTGTGCTGAAGTACGACTGACGCTGAGGTGAGGGCGGTCAGAGACGCGGCTGCTCTGGGACTTCTCCTGGCGCTAAGCTGTCACGGGACCCACGAGTCCCCATCACCTGAAGACCGACCCGCTGTTAGCGCCCCCCAACGATGGGACGCTAGCAGGGGGACCCCTGGTCCAGCCCCGAAATGAAGCAGCCCCTTCAGCAGGTGCGTGCGCAGCAGAGGGGGGTGGGGGTGCCCACATCCCTGAGAAGCCCTGGCAACAAACCCCTTTTTTTCCCTTTTGCAAGATCATTTCACCTGATATTTGCTAGGTAGGTGACTACATAATAATTCAGGAGTGTGTTAGACGCCTAATAGCCTTCTCGCTCCTCTCTTCTCCTCTCATTTTCTTTACAAATCATTTAAGAATCGTTTTGTTAATGGTTTCCGGAAAAGCAAGTACCGCCATTAGCACTCATTCATATTTATGTCATTTTATTTGGGTAATTAAACACAAAGCTCGTCATTTAAAGGTGCACTATCCTTCTCTGTTATCGCTAACGAAGTCAAAGTCAGAATGACAATGAGCTCGGTGCCGTAACGCACGGCGGGGCCGGGCGGGCACCCCCCGGCACGGGCGCAGACCCCGGCACGGCTCCTCCCGGGAACCTCAAACCCCTTGGGACCTTGCGCTGCCTCACCGCGAGCGGGGTGACTCCAGGGGCTGCCCCGGGAGGCAGAAGCACACGAGGGGTGTTCGCACGCCAAGGGGAAGCCCCGGTGCGGGGGGCAGCGTGTTGGCGCAGCAGCAGAACCCTTCCCCTGGCAGGGCTCCGCTCACGCCGCTGCGCCCGCGGGTGGGAGCCGGCACTGCCGTCCGTCAGGGAGCCCCAAGGGCAGCCCCTGCTCCAGCCCCCAGCGTTGCTCCTGCCTCACACACTGGTGTAAGAAACAGAGATATATATATATATTTTTTTTTCTTTAACTTTATGTATATGATTGTCTGAAATCAGTGATGTCACTTCAATCTCAAGATTTTGCTTATTTCATTGGGTTTTTTTCTTCTTATTATTTTAAACTCGTCAGGTTTTGCTCCTTGCTTCTGCCCCCAGACATGACAGAAACGCTCCCTGCATACAAAGCAGGGCACTTAGGAAGATTTCAGGGAAGGGAAAAAAAAAACCCCACCCCAAGAAGCTGACTTACGGTTGCAGACCTGCGTAAAGCTAGATTTACCCAAGAATCCCAAAGCTTTTAGTTTAGAATATTTAATACTCTTATTAATCATTTTTAATCCGTTTGCTTTTAATTAAGAAACAGCATGATGCTTTCCTATCAACATATGCCAGGGAGCAGATTAATTGTGGCTTAAGATAACTCTCCTTGATTGGTGTAATGTATTAGCTAACGAGATGCCTGCTTTTAAAGACGCTCAGACACTACCTTGGAAAGCCTGCTGCCCTCCAGAGAACACTTCTCCCCCCTTTTCTGGAACCCCTGAGCGTTTGTGACTTTAAAAATAGAATAAAATAAAATAAAATAAAGAACTCAGATTGGAGGACTGTGACAAAAACAACCCAAGAGCAGCTCCAGAGATCGCTCTTCAGAGACTGCCAGCTCCCCAGTTGGAGCACGATTAAAAGAGAAACCCTCGACGCAGATGAGGACGGCGCCGAGGCGACCCCCCGCCCCCCGCCCG